TGAAGGAGGGTTAGCATAACGTTTTAACAATTAATATCTAATTTTAGAAGTGAACACACATTTTTATGTATAACGTCATCACTAAAAACTAGTATTCCAATATGTAAACACATTTTTTCTTGTTTTGGTACGTGGAACTTGTGCCCAGAAGTGACGCTCTGTATAAAGTCAAGACAGGTGGCAACATGTTACCAGGGCAATCAGGAGGTACAGCATTAGGCAAGTCAACATCACCATGCTCTTTCTACTGATAATTATCCAAATACTGCATCTTGCTTCTTCACATTACTTACACATGGAGCTGAGCCCCTCTTGAGGAGCCGCCAAATCTGCACCTACTCAAGAATTTCCCCAGCATTTTACGGAACCCGAAGGTTCATTACCGTGTTCACAAGAGCCCTCCACTAGTCCTTATCCTGAGCTAGATCAATAAAATCCATACCATCCCATCCTATCTCTCTAAGATCCATTTTAATATTGTTGACTCACCTACGCCTTGGTCTTCCCAGTGATCTCTTTCCATCTGGCTTTCCCACCAGTATCCTATATGCATTCCTCTTCTAGCCTATTCGTGCTACATTACCTGCCCACCTCATCCTCCTTCACTTGATGATTCTAATTATACTTGGAGAAGAGTACAAGTTATGAAGCTCCTCATTATGCAGTTTTCTCCAACCCCCTGTCACTTCATCTCTCTTCGGTCCAAATATTTTCCTCAACACCCTGTTCTCAGACACCCTCAGTTTGTGTAATACTGTATCTTCCATGAGAATATTATAATGAAGCACGTGAGAAACAATGCGGGTTGTTCCAATATACTAACAAGTCGAAAACTTGGTATACTGGCGTCGGTTGCTGTCTTCTGGATTTTATTGTCTGAAGTTCAGATTCGATAACAGCAGCTCAGAGGTGGGACGGAATTCTAAATATGCGGGTCATGAGAGGAAAATCGAGCATTTTCGAAAGCAGTACCATTGGAAGGAACATGAGTGACTATTAGGCCCCCCATACACACAGTTTGGCCTTCCGATCGACCTTACAGGCAAAACTGTGACAGTTTACCCCCTCCCTTTCCTCCCCATACACGCGCAGATAAAGCGGCAGGCTTCATGCCACAATCATGGTCTTCCAGCCTATAATGTTGAGTCAGACACGTTACGTGCTATGGTCCTGCAGGCAGAACTGACGGACTGACCGGTTTCCCACAGGCCAACAGTCCAAACGATTGGCCGGCCGGCCGCACCACACACGTCAGTTTTGCCTTTCAGTCTTCAACTGTGCAGGCCGAACAGGAGGCCAAACTGTGTGTGTGTATGGGGGCCCTTACTAAGAGAACGAATGCGTGCGGTAGTTTCACTGACCTCGGAGATTAAGTGGTGACTTCAGCTGATAACCTCGGCCGGGCTGTACATACAGTTCACTCTCGCCGTCCAATTATAATATTTGGACTCTTGATGTATAATTATACATCAAGAGTCCAAATATGGACGATAATAGCAACCCCCTCTATAGACGGGTTATATCTGAACATTATCAACATAAGCAGATCAGTAAGTTGATTAAAGAAATTGTTTCGCAAGAGGCACTGACCGTTTATGTAGTGGGCTCGTGTAAACTTGTTGGGCCGCTTGTCACAGAAGTGTCTAACGCTACGAATACGCGTTACCAGCGGAATTGATAAGTATACGGGCCAACAAACTGCAAATAAAGCGTATCCAGATTACAGCAGGCGCTGAAAGTACACGCTCTGTTGTCATGGACGCGTTACCGGTAGCTCCCTGAAAACTTCACGTTTACGCGTTGAAGTTCTTGTTAATTATATGACCGTTACTTATCTCAAACTTTTTTCTAGGTCATGTTCGGCGCAGAAGCTCGTTAATTACACTAATGAACAATTTTTTTCGAAACATTAATCTAGGATTTAAATTAATGTTTACTTGTTACGTGTTCTTTGCACGAAGTTGGTCTGTCACTCAATCGATCACAGTGACCGCGCGGTTTGAGGCATGAACTGTCTTCGCTTGATCGAAAACTGGGATCGCGGGTTCGAATCCCACTCAAGGCATGGATTTCTGTGTGCGTTTATTCTGTGTTTGTGTTGTCCTGTGTGTAGGTAGCGGCCTTGCGACGGGCTGATCACTTGTCCAAGGAGTCCTACCGACTGTGTAAAAATTATTTCGAAACTGAAGAAGAGATCAGAGCCCAACAAAGGGCTGTAGAGCCATTGATTAATGAAATGAAATGATTGAATGATCTATCACTCTGATAGATGAGCACAGACTTTAGTCTTTTTGAGAAAAGAGTGCTGAAGAGGATGGCAATACGTAAGGAAAAGAATGGGCAGGAGGACAAAGAAACTTACACAGTGAGGAGCCCCATAATTTGTAACATAACATTTAGGAAACTTCACCAAATATTATTATGGAAAGAAAAAAATGGAAAATTATATGGACAGGACATGGGGCATGCATAGAAAAGATGATAAAAAGCTGGTTGTGAAACATGAAGAGACACTTGAAGGGACATAAGCGTAGACAGAAGTAACATATTAAAACGAATCTTAGAGAAATATGCTGGGTGGGTGGATGTAAATTTGAGTCACCTGGCTCGGGCTATGGGCCCGCGGTGAGTTTCTAAACACTGCTGTAGCATTTGCTTGGAGATATATCCGAAACCGTTGGATAAATAACAGTACCTAGCCTCGGGAATCGAACCTGGATCATTTAAACTACTGGCGTCACGTTTCTGGCTCCAGTCAGTATCTTCATTCGGAATAACGGCTAATTAACATGTCAGCTGTGTTATACGACCAAACCGAATGCAGGGGAGGTAAAAAGAAGTGGTACCATTATCAACTTTGTTCAACGTCCCGGAGACATCCACGGCAACAGCAAGAACAAACAACAAAAAGAATTGACTGATATTTGAGGTTCTCACAGTGGTGACTGTGATTGTTACTGTCTTCTAGAATATAACGCCGTGTAATCTGGTAGATAACTCTAATGCCCTGAAGATGGAGACAGCAGATTACTGCGAAATGTTGGTAATTGTCTACGACACTACATTGTGTCACTTCCCAGAAGAACGTAGTCTTAAAGAAAACGAAATATTTATGCCAGCATTATATTTGCCATTATAAGGAAAGGCAAGTTAACCTCTTCATAACACAAAGGACGTCTTGGAACGTTCCACACGAAGAGTGTTTCGAAGAATTCCGACATTGCTGCTTTTCATATTGTAGTCTTAAGAATAATGACGTCAGGCAGACCCAAGTTTCAGCGAATAAATCTTCTTCGCGGCGAAAATATCAGACCTTCAATTTATATTCGTCTTTTCATTTCACGTTTCTTTGTTTCTCTGGTTTTTTTTTGTGCTTCAGTCTTTCTCTGTTCAATCTGTCTAAATAAACCTTCGACAGTTTTTCTGACTTCAAAGTACGTATTTGTTCAGGTGACACATTTCAAGATAGCAGACAAGACGTGTGCAAATAATTGCAATGAATGGTACAGTGGATGTCAATAGAGCTCCTCTCATTGGTGTAACCGAGTCCGCAGACTGCGCGGATTTCAACTAACTTCCAGGAGACAGGGAGAAAGCAAGGGTGAAGCGAAGTATCTTGCTCGGACCGGAGTGATTGTATCATCATCAGGGCATCACATTTATCCCAATGGCCGATTCTTGTCTGTGCAAAAACAAATTCTGTTCCTATATTTTTACAGACAGGAGACCAAAAGATAATTTGCGTATGTACATTTTCTTACAGAAATGCGATCACATTGGCCGTGTGCTCTAAGACATTTACTGTCTTCGGCCGCCCGAAAGCTAAGATTGTGAATGTCAGTCCTGTTTGAAGCATAGATGTATATGTCCACGTTACATCTGTGTTTGTACTGTCCTGTGTGAGTACACGTCTTGCCGTGGACTCATCCGCGTCAAAGAAGTTCCAAAAAATTGTCTAAAAGTTCATAATTTAAGAAGTTAATTCTTGTAAGATTTGAGGTCTTCACAGCGGTGGCTATGAAGAATGCCCTCTTCTGGGATGTGACGCCGTGTAGATCTTGTGTGAACCGACGTTCCGGAGGAAAGTATCACCTCCATCTTCAGGGTAGAGAAATCCGCGAGCAAGGAACCAACGTGAGCGGGTGGCTACAAACTGAGCTCACTCTGGTTTTCTTGATCTAGGCATTAGTTGGAGGCTAGTGGTCAGCTTCACGCCCCGACCGCTTTACCTCCGGGGAAAGGGTCCGCAGTACCCATTGGTTAGAGGCTGGGTGAGCCCCAGAACCAGCCTGGACGACGTGGAGAAGAGACAGTTCCTGCTTCAGACACCTGCTCACTCTGGTTCCTCGCTCGCTAATTTTTCTACCCTGAAGATGGAATCCGAATTGTTCGAACATCAAAGTCTCCCATATCGAATTAAAAAAAAGCCTGATGGTTTAGGTGCTGATGACTAGGTCAAAGACAGACGGAGAGGCATGGTCTCCACACACGGCGTTCTCTCTTACTCTATAGAGCTCGCTTAATAAACTGGCCGATGCAACGAACTACAGGAGATTTCCCTAGTTGACACAAAGTTCGAAGTTGTTCTGTAGAACAACGAGTAGAAATGAATCCTTGTTAATGGTATTTCTTTTATTGCTAGTGGGGTGGGACTAAGTCCCTTGTACTGCGGCCACTTCTGGCCTATTGTACCAGCTCCAGATGATAGATGAGAGTGATTGTGGAGCAATTGGTGGAATGAAGATTGGCAGGGGAAACCGAAGTACTCGGAGAAAACCTGCCCCAGCGCGACTTTGTCCACCACAAATCCCACTTGACCAGACCCGGGGTCGAACCCGGGCCGCTGCGGTGGGAAGCCAGCGACTAACCGCTTGAGCTATGGCACGACCTTTGTTAATGGTAACTGACGTCAGGAAGTCCCCCGTCATTGAGTACTACAGCAGAACACGAATTGCGGCGTGTAGCTTACAGGATGATGGCTTCTTTTTGTTTGTTGGCAGAAATTTAAAGATGCTGCAGAGAGCGCGAAGGCATTCACGAAGCGGCCCAGTGATGATGAACTTCTGGAGCTGTACGCCCTCTTCAAGCAAGCCACTGTAGGGGACAATGACACAGGTAACTGATCACAACGCTTCTCGTGACTCCGAAGTTTTCCTGGACCGATCACAATGGCCATAACTTGCCAACTCCGTGAAGCGAAGGTCGTAGTGAGGAACTAACAGTCGCTCGGCTGTCAAGAAATTTACCGCTCATTTATGGAACCCGGAACCGCCTCTGTGGCCTAGTGATCAGAGTTCCTGGCTACAGATCCAGAGGTCCCGGGTCCGATTCCAGGCGCTATCACATTTTTCTGAGTAGCGGGTCTGGAACGGGGTCCATCGAGCCTCGTGAGGATAACTGAGGAGCTATTTGAAGGAAATAGCGGCTCCGGTCTAGAAAACCGTGATTAACGACCGTGGGGATTCGTTGCGCTGACCACGTGACACCCCCTATCGGCAAAAGTTGGCACTAACTTCGCCGACAAGCGGCGGTCGCTCGGTCAGTATAGTTCGCTTGTGGATCACAGGGCACGGAGTTTGTCTGTTATGGAACCCAAGCTTTTATTACTACGCTCACAAGAGCGCGCCACTAGGCCCTACTTTGAGCCAGATGAATCTAGACCACATCATCACATCCTACTTGTCTAGGATCCATTTGGATGTTATTCCAAGTAGTCTCATCTCTTCGGGTTTTCAGTACAGCTGAATTTGTACAACTAATGATAATGAATTGGACGACCACAGTTCGATTCTAGGGGAGAATTTAATATTTCTCTTCTCCACCACTTCCAGACCTTAAGGACCTGAAAATAAGGCGACCCCTCTTTTTTAAGAAGCAGTATTTGAACAAAAACATCGTCTTATATTCGGTCTAATATGGCATTTCAGTTGGCATCTTCAAAATTATTAGCTGTAAATTATAAGTTTCTAAGACAAACAACCCCCGGCCTATTGTAGTCATACCAAATAAATCCTTGGTAATTTACTTCGTACCAAAGTGCAAGATAATAATGAACAATTTAACTTACAGCGAAACCAGGGATGCTGGACTTAAAAGGCAAAGCGAAATGGGAAGCGTGGAACGGCAAGAAGGGAGTGTCCAAAGAGGCCGCCATGGAAGCTTACATAGAACTGGTTGAGAAATTGAAGGCTGAATACGCTTGACCAACTGCAGCAGGCATTTAACTTATTCAGGGAGAAAAATCCGAGAAAGCATTGTCAAGACTTATATCTGTACATACTTTTATATTATCATGGCATGATATATTAAAATAAAATAAATTTAAAAACAATATTTCAGTTTGGAAAGATTTCCTGCCTTGAAACCTGCAGTTAAATTTATATAATCCAGATAGTAATTTTTATTAGTTCAAAAGCATTTAAATAGTCCAGTATTAATGTTTCGATTTTAAGAAATTGATTGTATACCTTAAGTTTGTGTGCCGGGTCATTTGAACAAGTTTCAAGAACATTAAACTTAGAGTAGGATTATGATATATGAATTAAAAATTGGGAAATTTATTATATTTATAAATTTTACTTTCACATGTTTACAGAGTTCTTGTCATTTAGCGTAGCTGAATAATTCGCATTAGATTCTTTGAACACAGATATTAGTTTCAATATATATATATATGACATATAGATTACGTAGAATAACAGATTTACATGTAATTCAGTGAATATTTTATTCTCCAGAAATTCTCCAGAAAACCACTGCCGTTTCCCCAGTGAAGCGAATAATTTTGTACAGTCGCTCACTGATCCCATGCAAGTAATCCCAACAGAGGTTAAATGCAAAGCAGCATTAATGAAGAAGGCAGTGTAATGAGACTTCCGAATATTTTGAATTAATTGTGTCCACCGGTAACTTACCCCGACACATCTCGTCCTTTTGAGAACAATTCTCATGACTGCTGTAAACCGAATGTCATTGTTTATTGGGTACTAAATCAAATGTAAGATTATGTATGTTATAAAACGTTATTAAAATTGCAGTTGTTCTGTAAATTTAATTTAATTTAATTACATTCTTGTTTTGGAGCGTAGTCTGTATAGCGACTTCCTACGGGCTGGACGACCGAGGGGTCGTTGTTTGGGTCCCGGTATGGGGAAGAATTTTCTCTTCTACACGTGGTCCAGACCGGCTCTGAGACTCACCCAGCCTCCTATCCAATTGGTACACGGGGCTCCTTCCCCGAGGGTAAAGCGGCAGGGGCGTGAAGCTGACAAATCACCTCCAATTAGTACCGAAGTCAAGAATATGTGGATCTATACATTCACTCCCCAATATGCCTTCATGGCGTAGTGCTTAAATAATTATAGTTTATTTAGTTTTTCCTGCTGTAGTTTTCCTCCTCCTGAATTTACTTTCCATCGTAAGAGTCATGGATTTTGAGGAGTTTCATTTCACACTCTATGCCAATAATACTCGTAGTTACATGACATAATGGGATCAGCCTGTCGCAAGGCCGCTACATACACACAGAACAACACAAACCCAAACACAGACATCCATACCTCGAGTCGGATTAGAACCCACGACCCAGTGTTCGAGCGGTCGAAGACGGTTCATGTCTTAGACAGCGCGGCCGGCCACCACGATCGGCATGTGAATGACTATTACATTATATTCTAGCTGCGTTTCTTTCCTTTTGATTTATTCTACTGTCAGTATCCACACTGTACATTACCGAAAGGAGAATATGTAGTAAGATATATCAAGTCAGAGAGAATAAGATGGTTGGAACACGTCGAAAGAATGGAAGATAATGCAATGCCAAAGGGAATGTTAAAAAGGCTATATTCCAAAATAAGAAAAGGAAGACCCAGGATGAGAAGGCAAGACGATTTTGAGAACGACCTGAAGAAGATGAAGGAGAAAGGATGGATAGAGAAGATGAGGAATAGGGAGCAGTAGAGACTTGTTACAGAGGAAGCAAAGTCTCATCCTGGGCTGTAGCGCCGAGTGGTACGTAGGTAGGTATCCACACTGTGCAACGCAGAAAGGTACGACGACTGAATACCGAATTGGAAAGAATTTGGAAGGAAGAGTTAGAGACATCACTCAAGGTAGTAACCCGAAATTTGGCCCCAGGGGCTGAGAAAAACCAGAAAGTACCTCAGTAAGGTTGGCCAGTGTCCCGGCTGTATTGCGAACCAGCATCCCCTGAGGACAAGTCCAGAGATTTGCTCCTCTGTCCACATGCCCTGTACAATGCTGTTTCACCTGCAGAGGTATACACTGTCAATGAGATTATGAATGTTCGTAAATGGTGAATAGGTAACATTTTAGAGCCGGGATAGTTTATTCGGTACAGCGACAGGCTATAGGCTGGAAGGCCGGTGTTCAATTACCGGCAGGGTAAGGATTTTTCTCTTCTACATAGCGTTCAGACTGGTTTGAGCCCCACGCAGCACCCTAGCCAATAAATAACAGGGTCTCTTTCCCCTGGGTTAAAGCGCCCGGGTAATGAAGATGACCTCTCACTTCCATCTAGTGTCGAGGTCAGGAAAACCTGGGTCTATACAGCCACTCCTCTACACGCCTTCATGGCGTAGTGCTTAATTAATTAAGCACATGGACAGGTTTAACTTTTAGAGGCCTATCAGCATCAATGTCAATATGCGAGACTCCAAAATACGACTACTATCCAGAAATTCGTCTGGAGAAACCGAGAAGACCATAAAAAGTTTGAGCCACGATAGGCGGAACCCCCACAAATATTCGAACCCTATGCATCTTATACGATTTGGGGTTCTCACAGGTGTGGTTATGAGCAGTACTATTTCCTGGGATATAACGCCGTGTGACGCTTGTCACCTGTTTTCATGCTACTTTCTTGCTCGGCTTATTTCACTCCGAAGATGAAGGTGAAGTATTCCTAAAAAACATCCGTTGACTTTCAACAGTCTACGAAGCGTTATGTCCCAGAAGATAGAACTCTTCCTGTACAGCCCGAATAAAAATCTACACAGTTTCAACCACAGTAGCCTGCTCGGCGGCATTTCATTATGCGTATAAAGTTCAAGCATAGGCCGCGCCATAGCTCAAACGGCTAGTCTCTGGCTTCCCACCGCGACGGCCCGGGTTCGATCCCGGGTCTGGTCAAGGGGGATTTGTGGTGGACAAAGTGGCGCTGGGGCAGGTTTTCTCCGAGTACTTCGGTTTCCCCTGCCAATCTTCATTCCACCAATTGCTCCACAATCACCCTCACCTATCATTTGGGGCTGGTACAATAGGCTAGTAGTGGCTACAGCACAAGGGACTTAATCCCACCCCACTAGCAATAAAAAGAAAAGTTCATGTATGGAAAACTGATCTAACTCTGCATCTACGTTCTTTCCTGGACGGAAAAGGAAATTACTTGACCTGCGAAACTATACAGAGACAATACAGACCTTGAACTCGTTACAACGCGGTGAAGCGATCGAGCGGTTGCGTTTCAGCAAACCCCAATTCTAAATCTCGTTGGTATGATACAAGGAATTCGAAGCAACATGAATAGCTCGGTCACAGTTTCCAGAACAATGACATTCTGTTTTAGCGTAGTCGAAAGGGAGACGTTATAAGTAGTAGTGGGTGATAAATTGCTATTGTTACTGCCAAGTTATAAGAATCTTAATGGAGTTAATGTGGAGCAGCAAGCAGAACAATTCATGGTAGCTCCAAAACTAAATGGAGCACAAATATATTTCACATGGATTATTCACCCTTTCACAACGCCACTAATTGTCCTTGATGTTCATTTATAAAGGTAAAAAGATAAAGCTATCCATGTAACAGGTCGTGGAGGCCCATAGGGTTGTGGGACGTCGAGGCTCCAACATTTTTTCTAGACAGTCGGCTCACAGATGGCCGTAAATTTGTCAGCCTTAAGCGCCGGCTACCCTTTACCCCACACGTAGATTCCTGGTACTAATTTCTGTTATAGGCTGAGTCGAACGCATGGGCATTGCGCGGTTGGAAGGATTGGATTAACTGAAAATAATCCACCTTATCGGGACTCGAACCCGCGACCTTCCGGCTTGTAGCATAATGCCTCAACCAACTGCGCTACCGCGTGCTCCTGATGTTTATTTATTGTAGATATAAATCCTGTATGGCTGCAATTAAAACTTGATTCTGCTGCGTTTAATTAAATGTAAAACATCACTGAGTTAAATAGGATTGTAATGGGCGCATCCTATAACATAAGGAACAGAATTACCAGCGGGGTTCTTTGAAGATTAATAGGCTTATTTAAAAACTGGAATAATTATTAGACCGCTCGGCCTCCGTGACCGCCAGTGAAAGTCTTATATAACGAGTTTTTGTAAAAGATTTTACGATATGCATGAAAAATTCAATTCCTGACCTTATGCACACTAGATTTTATTATTGATGAATGTGGCAAAAAATCTGATGCACCAAACAATGTTTGGTGCAAGTCTTTCATATCGAATTTCTACTAAATTCGTAAAAAGTTTTATGAGATTTACTTGAAAGTCCATCCATGAACCTAGGTAAACTAGGCTTTATCACGAATCAATATGACTGAAAATTGGAACAGCCCAACAAGTTTTGGCGAAAAAGTCACTTGTGACGAATTTAAACAAATTTGGTGTATGTGAAATTATTTGTGAATAAACACGTAAAGTTAATTTATGTCATCATGTAAACTGGATTTTATTATAGATCAATATGGCTGAAATTCGAAATTGTCGAATAATATTTGGTGGAAATCTCCAAATCGAATTTCAATAAAATCCATAAAATTATTTATTGACTACATTAAAAATTCCGTTTATGTCTTTACGTATAGTAGGCTCTATTATGGATTATGGGTAAAGGTGTCCCTGTTCTTAATTAAGCACCATACCATTAAGACGAATGGGGATTGGCGGTATAGCTCCACAATCCTTGACTTCAGCAAGAAATGGAAGTGATTCATCAGCTTCACGCCCCTGCCGCTTTAATTCCGGGGAATTATCCTACGGTACCCACTGGACATGATGTTGGGTGGGCCCCAGAAAGGGTCTAGACGTTATGGAGAACCGAAAATCTTGCTTTTGCCTGGTATTTAACCCAGGCTGTCCAGCCCGTAGCCTGTCGCTATCCCTACTGAAATTCAAAACTATTCAGTGTCAATTACTGNAAATAAATCATGGACTTAAATCAGTGCAACAGGACGCTAAAATATAACATTAGTACTGAAATAGTGTATGTCGAATTTCAGCATATTCGAAATGATTTATGGGATACATAGAAAAATCAATTTATGAATATAAATAAAGTAAAGTAAAAAAGTAAAT